GCATTGTCGTCCGTCCATTTGGATGCTTGTTGTAGTTCAAGAAGTCATATTTTTACCATAGGGTTCAAACATATTGCGAAATACAGAGCTGATGTTTGTTGCAAGATAGCTAGGTGAGCATTTTATGTCTGTCGTCATGATGTGTAGGCAGGTAAAGAGCACTGGTGAGAACTGGTGAGGAAACTGTGTATTTAGTTGCAGGCACCAGCAACCTTTCAAGCCTACAGGCAGACAGTACAATATTCACACCATGTGGGTTATATCTTTAAATCAGTTTGAGCAAAAGGGTCCTGTAAATGGCATGTACAGTACTTGTAGCTACACACTGCAGGTCCCTCTCTTAAGTGGATTGTCTAATCATTAAAGGTTACAGCATTACCATCCTGCCTCAGTGCCCCCTCCCCGCATGGTCCCTCTTTTTTTCATCCTCTCTGTTGTCCAACTTAATTGAGGATTCAAGGTGATAAGGATGGAGGAAAGGAAGAAAGGGAAGAGTGGGGGATTTCCAGCAGCTGGAGCGTGTTAACATTTTCAGACATTTAGCTGAGGCTGTCACCTGAAGGACCGGATGCTGAGGCTAAAGCTCAGAGAGTTAGCGAATGTGGACTATTCAAGGCTATTGCCTGTTTGACACATGGGTTGTCTGTCCTGTGACATTTCCTCAAAATAGGTTGCTTTTAAGTGCCGGTCCCAGAAAAGCGACTCATGAGAGCATTTTCTGCTTTGCCTGTTCTTTGGTTGAGGTCTGGTAAATTTTAGGCAACTGGCACTTTCACACCTAATCTATTTTCTGCAGTTCAATAACACCCTGGTGAGTTTGCCCATTTACCTTGGTCTGGTCTCAAGTTAACTCTGGTGTCATTCGTTTATGACAGTAAGCATTTGATTTTTAGCATGATTTCAACTGCTGAACTGCTGTTAAAATCCATCTGCTGAACTGTTACAAAAGCTCTGCAGGCTTTAAGCGATGTATAAGCCTATATTTATGCAAGGTAATTTGGTAACAATGACAACACCTACGCTTGTCAGCACATGAGGGATTTTCCCTGATACAACAGAAAGACCAGAAGTGTGTTGAGTGTGTGTCCTACTTGCCTATTTTAGCAGATCCCCAGCAAAAAGCTATCCTCCCGTAATATGACAGTACAAAATGTGTATAAAGAAAAGGTTCTTTTCCCATTTCTTTGTGTTTGTCAGGAGTTATACACAACATGATATATGAGGTCAAGATGCAGTCTGGACTAAGTATTTTCATGGTCAGTTATTTCTGCCTGAGCTGATCAGATGAGATGAGTAAACTAATACGAGTCAGTAAAGTGCAGCATGGCTTGATGTGAGTCTCCAGAATTTTTGATTTCCCATCATTGGTCATGCTGGACTGATGATACTGGATAACTGCTGGAACAATAAATGTGTTACCTGTCAGTCAATAAATGTCCATGTTTTGTTTTTTTTTAACATTTTTTTAAGGGTGGGGGTTTAAAGTACATAAATTAATGATATAGCTATATAATAAACACATAACAATTTATTTAAATGCCTCCAAATGTCAGTTATAATTATCATTGGATAAACATTACATGAACATAAGTTCATAAGTTTATAGTGGTAACAGAAGGGTTAACGTTGTATGTATGTGTGTGGATTGTGTGTCCAACTTCTGTTTCATACACAATCTGGCAACTTGAACAATGTCAGATTAACATAAAACGTACGACTGCGTGAATTATTTATTTTTATTCATAATAAAGTTTTAGGGGCGTGAAAATTATAGGAGTTTCCAGAGAGAAACAACAAAACGGCGGGCGCTGGGAGATTACCTTGAAATACAAGAGACTCCCGGTTGTGTTGGCAGGTATGATCTGGAAATGAACCAAACTACAGATGTGACAGCGCTGTAAAACATTATGGACGAACACTGTCTTCATGCATACAAGAAACCAAAGACGAATGGAAAAAGAATGAACCAAAGATATGTGTCAGTAGCAGACTTTATAGACCCACTGACCCACAGTGACTCCTTCTCTTTGTTGCTGCAGCATGTCACATTACTTCCAACTTTGTTTCTGTTTCTTTGTTTCTTTTTCTCAAGAGGACGCGACCACAGGACGTTGCTTGTCGAAAACATAAACATGAGTCAAATGAAGCATTTCAGCTAAAAACCGCTGCTGTTGTTTTTCCTCTGGGGTCAGTCTCGTTCTCTCATTCACATGATGGTCTCTCTAACCACTTTGCCTTGGAGAGCCCTTGACACTACTCCTCACGATAAACTATGGATGATGCTGGACCCGCAGTACCCACCATCAAATCCAAGCCCAGTGCTCCACTTAACTTGTCAGATTAAAAAGATCAAAAGTCAGAAAAAAGGCAAAGAGTGTGAGGGAGATAATGCGCGAGAGAGAGAGCGAGAGAGGAAGAGAGCGGGCTTAAAAGAGAGACTACATGGAGAAGAACACAAGAACACAGTGTCCTAATTAATGTCTTCCTCCATTAATCCACTCTGAAGCTTCCCATGCTGCTGGGTTTGATCTCAGCAACGTTGCTATCAAAGCCTTGTAACATGGTCTTGTATTATGGGGAAGATCTCAGTCAGGCAGCATTAAGGAAAATCATTAGTTGTAGCTGCTGCAGATGCTGTGGTGTCTGTAAGTACAGGTGGGGTTTTGTGCAATCATCTACCACATTCATGTGCCATATGTGACTGAGAAAAGCACGACTGCAGCACAATTTAAAGCTCCGCTCGTCAGTGTTTTCATATGAAGAGTGGATTGAATGGTTACATGATGTAAAGCCTGTTGTTTGTATCATCCAAGTCTGCAGGTTTTCAAGACTTTTTAGTCTCTTGTAGCTCAAAGTTTTGGTTTGATGACTTGAAATCTTTGTTCTAACGACATGAACGTTTTTGGTAAATGGACTGTACACTACCTGCTGAACACTAAACGCCAAATAGACAACGTTAGCAACACATTTTAGCAGTTAAGGATCCAGGGGCCGGTTGCACAAAACACCTTAAGTTAAGATTTAAGTCTGAGTTAAGGTTGCACAACACACCCTCAAGTCTTCTCCTTAAAGTTTTGTTTAAATGCTCACTTATTAATTAAGGTTTTCTCCTTATCTTAGTCTTATAATTAAGGAATCACTTAAAGTCAGTTAAACCATTGCACAAAAAACCTTAGCAACCAAAGTCAAGAAAAAAACTAAAGGTACCTCTGACCTCTGTTTAAGAGTTTCTGTGTAACACCCTTAAGTAACCCAGATAGTTTTCTGTCAACTCTGTCGCAGCATTGTTTTCGGTGACAACAGGGACCTGTTTTCAGCAAATGCTCTAATATATCCACTGTACGTTACCTGTCCAGCGGAGGTCCTGCCCATGAGTGATGAAAAAATATTTATTTCAGCTTTTACAATGTGCCAAATCAGAAGCAACAGGCAGCGACCCCAGTGATCAAACCTTGGACAAACTGCTGTTGAGTGACGGATAAAAAAAACGTGGCAATGAAAGATGAACACGTCTCTGATGTTGTCTTACACATTCAGCCTAATACAAATGCTTTGGGGTGTTTTGGGTGTAAGGGCCAAAGCTGAGTGCATCCCAGCTACAACAAAGCGCCTGAACGTCGATCCCAGCGTACGAGGAGGGAATATCATCGAATAAAACCTCTTATCGAATAAAACCTCAAAACGCCATTAGCAAGAGACAAAAGATAGAACAAAATGGCAAGAGGATCGTTGCTAATTCAGCAAAAGGGAAATCAATGGCCCTTTTCCTGTTTTTCCCATCGCTACCCGGCGTCTGTCTACCCTATCAGGCATCCCCGACTCCCCGCTTGTCAATCTCAGGAAAAAACTATAGATGAGCTGAGGCGGGGCATGTGGGGGCTGTAACAGCCTGGATCTGCTGCCTCAGAGGAGAGGTTCGAGGCAAGAAACAGTGACTCAAAAAAAATTTAAAAAATCATAAACCCCTCACAAATTCTCTGTCAGTTCAGCTCTAAAAATACTCCTGTTCGCCTTCGCCTCACATCGCCTCCTCTCTGGTCTCAAGGAGCTATGTAAATACAAGCCTTTCCATTTTTCGCTCATCTACTTTGTTCTCCTTCCACACCCCTCCCTCAACCCTCCCCCCAGCCCCCACCAAACCTTATTGTCTTGACTACCTCTTCTCCATCTCTTGCAGACTACATGACAGAGCCTCGCCTTCCCTCTTGTTGTTCCTGCTCTCTCCAGGGTAGCGAGAGAAATGATAAAAGCTATTTACAAGTAACTGTAGGCAACAGTCGAAATCCAAGACTTGGAAAAATTCATGCTTTTTTTTTATGCTGTTTTGTTTGATGCCAGAGCCATTTGCGATGCTGCGTGGTGAACTGCAGCGCAGTGCAATGCAGTCCTGAGTGACAATTTAAGGGGGGACTGAAGCTCTTTTAGGGACTTTGACTATGCCAGCTCCTGCAGATTGTGTTTGACTTTTTTGTTCTGGGAAACGGAAGCACGAGTCCTTCTCGGCACGTGCTGAGTGGCAAACACACAACTTCCTCGGCACATCTTCACATCGCCTACAAACCATTTAGAAGTCTTCTGAAGCATTAAACACGCCGACTGAGAGGCTCGCAGGACTCGGCTCAGTGTGTTCTGGCATTAATCACGACGACCATCAGCCTGTGGTTCCTCTCGGAGAGCTGTTATGAAGCTTGTAGAAATGTTGTGATGCATGTTGAGATTCAAGCTGAACAAAGACATCCATGTAAGTGCCACTGGAAATACTGGCTTTCATGACAACCGTAATGAATCTGTTTCATCCCTCACTCTGTCACTCTCCCTGCTCCCTCATCATACAGTATGTTCATCACCCCTTTTCTATTCAACGGACTCTAATTGCACGCTCTTTTTCTCTCCAGACTCTACTTGCCATGCATTACCAGCTGCCCCCCCCCCCCTTTCCCGACGAACAATCACCAACCCGGCCACCCCCATTTCCTCTTTCTCCCTTGATTGATTCTCACCTTTTCCATTCTTGCTGTTCACCTCATTAATGGAGCGCCCGTCTGCTCGTTTCCTATTTCGCCTCCCACTCCTTCCTACATCCCAGCCCCCCTCCCTGCCCCTCCACACTTCCTGTCCTGTCGTCTCTGAAGCGACGGCCGGCTCAGATTCCTCGTCTCCGGCCAAGGCCTTCACGTTCCGTAATTAGAAGGGAGCATAATAGAGAAGGTTCCTCATCAGCTGAGGTGGAAGGGGAGGGGAGCACACAACCGCCGCCATCCATCCGTCCATCTACTCATCCATCCTTGAGTTTAATCAGTGGGACACAATAGGATGTCACCTGCTCCCAGACGCAGCCGCTGGAGAGAGGCAGCGATGCTGTCACAAACCATTTAGGGTGAGGTGGCGTCCATAGCGCCTGCTCTTTAAGGCCTCCTCCTCCTCTACGGTTGTCTCTGTTAATCTGGTCTCCCTGGGAACGAGGGCGAGGGAACCCGTGAAAAATCAAGCTCATTTAGTCCTGTTTATTTATTTATTTACAGACACTTATCCAGCATGTTCTTCTTTATTGGTTTCCCTTCTGAGATCCCAGAGGAATCATGGATATCCGAGTGTGTGAATGTTTGCTTTCCTATTATATGAGTGTGTACATGTCTGTGTGTGTACGGTGTGTCACAGAGAGGTTAATCTGACCCTCAATCAGTAAAACCCACTGAGGGAAAGTAGATAAGTACATTTACTCAAACACTGGAGTTAAGTACAGTTTTGAGGTGCTTGTACTTACTTGACGAGCATGAGTTAATGTTTCACTAATATTCATTAATAAACATAATTAACATTCTGTGGCCGTTCTGCATGATGAGGTCTCTCACTTGTGTATAATTTTCGAACACTATTGTACTTTATTTGTACACATTAAGTGTGAATACTACGTACACTATCTGCGCTTCTTAAGGAGCTAAGTTTTGCTATTGCTACATAGCTAACATTAGCATTAACAGCTGTTTACTTACTGGTCTAGAAGAAACGTTGTGAGTTCAGCATCAAACTTCATTCCTTTACTTTACTCTGCCTGGAGAGCTGTCTCCAGAGGTGGAAAGCAACGGCAGTGCTAACTGTTGTCTCTATCACGTCTGTTTTTCTAGTGGAGTTAGCATGCTAACCCTTGTCCATCTCCTCACTTTCTGATATGTGAGGACTCACTGTAGCCTCCACTCTGTCCTGAAGACGTAGCGCTGCTCAGAGGGCGTATTATAACCTCTTGTAAACACAATGATGGCTAGAGCCGAGGCTCTAGTCAAGTCACCACTGCCTGCTCCAGGCAATAAACCACATTTGGCAGCAGAGAAAACTTACAAATAGCCCCTTTAATGTGTACAACTCACTTATTGTCACTTAACACTTAGATTGTGTTTGTCCATTCAGTTATACATGACGTACAAACCTGTAAATCTAACACAGTAGAGAAGCATTTGAAAATGCAAAAGGCTAAAACTTGCAAAACTTGCAACTGTACTCACAGGCCACACAGACAGACACACGAGTGACAATGAAACACTGTCTCAGTCTGTTTTGTCTGGTTGGCAGGATCCGTGCACAGAGTCACTGACAAGCTGTGGAGCCATGGGCTGCGGGCTGCGTAAGATGAAACCGATGTCGGAGGAGAACAGTCCGGGGAAGATTTACTCCACCCTGAAGAGACCACAGGTGGAGACCAAGGTGGGCGTGTCCTACACCTACCGCTACCTGGACTTTCTGATCGGAAAAGATGGTAAGACATGTTTTTTTTAACTGATCTGTTGGAAAGCGGTGCCAAAAAACAAAAACAAAACAATGCGACTTTTATTGTTTTTTTTTATTGTGAGCCTGCAAAGCACAAACGCCGACAAAAAGACATGATCTACATCCTTCAAAGCAATAGCTCCAGCCACACAACAAACGACTACCAACCCCGAAAAGAAAGAAGAGAAAACCCACCGCGAACACCTAGCACACGACTAAAGGCCAAATGTAGGACACGCCCACCTTGGTCTCCACCTGTGGTCTCTTCAGGGTGGAGTAAATCTTCCCCGGACTTTCTCCTCCGACATCGGTTTTCATCTTACGCAGCCGCAGCCCATGGCTCCACAGCTTGGTCAGTGACTCTAGTGCACGGATCCTGCCAACCAGACAAAACAGACTGAGACAGTGTTTCATTGTCACTCGTGTGTCTGTCTGTGTGGCCTGTGAGTACAGGTTGCAAGTTTTCAAAGTTTTAGCCTTTTGCATTTTCAAATGCTTCTCTAACTGGTGTTAGATTTACAGGTTTGTACGTCATGTATAACTGAATGACAAACACAATCTAAAGTGTTAAGTGACAATAAGTGAGTTGTACACATTAAAGGGGCTATTTGTAAGTTTTCTCTGCTGCCAAATGTGGTTTATTGCCTGGAGCAGGCAGTGGTGACTTGACTAGAGCCTCGGCCATCATTGTGTTTACAAGAGGTTATAATACGCCTCTGAGCACGCTACGTCTTCAGGACAGAGTGGAGGCTACAGTGAGTCCTCACATATCAGAAAGTGAGGAGATGACAAGGGTTAAGCATGCTAACTCCACTAGAAAAACAGACGTGATAGAGACAACAGTTAGCACTGCCGTTGCTTTCCACCTCTGGAGACAGCTCTCACAGGCAGAGTAAAGTAAAGGAATGAAGTTTGATGCTGAACTCACAACGTTTCTTCTAGACCAGTAAGTAAACAGCTGTTATGCTAATGTTAGCTATGTAGCAATAGCAAAACGTAACAGATAGTGTACGTAGTATTCACACTTAATGTGTACAAATAAAGTACAATAGTGTTCGAAAATTATACACAAGTGAGAGACCTCATCATGCAGAACGGCCACACGAATGTTAATTATGTTTATTAATGAATAATTAGTGAAACATTAACTCATGCTCGTCAAGTAGTACAAGACCTCAAAACTGTACTTAACTCCAGTGTTTGAGTAAATGTACTTATCTACTTTCCCTCAGTGGGTTTTACTGATTGAGGGTCAGATTAACCTCTCTGTGACACACCGTACACACACAGACATGTACACACTCATATATAATAGGAAAGCAAACATTCACACACTCGGATATCCATGATTCCTCTGGGATCTCAGAAGGGAAACCAATAAAGAAGAACATGCTGGATAAGTGTCTGTAAATAAAATAAATAAACACGGACTAAATGAGCTTGATTTTTCACGGTTCCCTCGCCCTCGTTCCAGGGAGACCAGATAACAAGACAACCGAAATCTCTCTCTG